ACCTTGCGCTTGCTAGGCAGGCGCTTTTGCCGCTGAGCTAAATCCCCAGCCCCTAAAAATTTATTTTTTATTAGTACGTTTGCAGTACATAATCACTACATATGTTAAACCAATGCTTAAATATTTTTAAGCCTGTCCTTAAACACTGTGTTATTTTTATTTCCACTTTATTTTTTACAGGCCACCCGGGTAGTAGTAGTTTGTATTGTATGAAGACAGTCTTAGAGTTTAAAACAGACAGTCTTAGAGTTCCCCCTTTTTTGTCCCAATTATTGGGGAAAATTTCTGTGACTTCTCTGGTGTGGCATCCAGGGCCTCACACATAATCTGTGGATGTAACTCTTGGAGGTGGGTCCTCAGCCCCCAGGTGTGGGTGTCCTTTCCGATTTCTGACTCTGGGAGTCCTGAGTCTCGCTCCCCAATACTTCTTCATGGCCTTGAGAGCTAGTGTTCTGGGTTGGGGTTGCGCAGACACCTTCAAGGAGAAAGCTCATCTTTTTATTCTGCGTAACTCTCTGAATTCTTGCTTCTACTTAGTTTTTGACCTTAAGTATTTCTTCAGTGAACTCCTGCTCACTGGTGATTTTTTTAAAAAAATTGTGTGATATTTTCAGTTGGTTTCATGCAGGTGTCCATTTGTGGTATGGAGCGTGTGTGACAGTTTCCTCCTGTTTCTCCTAGGGCATGTCTGCTGCAGAGGGTACTGCAGTTACTGTGCCATTTCCCATGTGCAGTGAAGGTACTTCGCATAGAATAATTAACATTTGGAGAGTGCTTCCCCACATAGTTTCAATTTGTATTTAACTGCCACCAAACAGCTCTTTTCAAGCCACAGGAACCAAGATCTTACAGCTAGTTCTTGTTCTGTAAAAACATACCGAGATGTTGGAGGTTATGGCACAGAAGAGTATCTCATGCTACAAAAATTGGAAAATTATGATGAGTTCTTTGCCAGCTAGAAAGTTATATTCATCAAATAACTAATTTAATGATTTTTATTCTTCCTTAATTTGCTGTTAGATTAATTTTTTTCAGTTTCTAAACAATTTTATTGTATTTCTCTATAACCTTCCATTTTGTCATCTCAGTTAAATAAAAAAATACATTTCTGGTTTTTGAATTAGGTTTTCCAAGTTTTGAAAATGGTGTTGCAAAACACATACAGCCCACTTTAATTGTTCTGCATCAGATTTTGTGAGCTGCTAATGTTAGGCTGTATGTATTTTTACAATGTTGAGAAACATGGTGTTTTGGGACAGATTATGGTGGTAGAAAATAGTCTGCTTGAGTGTAAGGTTTAACTGCCAAAACTATTTAAAGGTAATGGAAAGGATTGTTGCACCAGAGTGTTTAATAAATAGTTGTCAGATGATTAAGTGTGGTAAGAAGATTGCTACTTAGTCACATTATGATGCCTTTTGATTGATAATATGAGTCAAAAATGGTTAACTTTTCACAGTCTTTAATTTGCTTTTCTGTTTCAAGTTTCTTTCCTTTAAAGACTTTGCCATTTATTTATTTCTTTTATTATTCATTTTTTTAAAAGACAAGGTATTGCTGTTTAGCTCAGGCTAGCCTTGAGCTCATGGCAATTTTCCTGCCTCATCCTCCAGAGTGCTGGTATCCCAGGCATGCATCACCACACCTGTGCTGTGTTTCTGGTTTCATGTATACTTGTATTGTTTTGGTACTGAATTTCTCATCATTCTGCATCATATCTGAATTTTCTTAACACTATTTCTTCGTGTTTTGAAGTTGAGCTTTTCAGTCTTTTATAATCATTTGGTTGAGTGAATTAGAGTAACTTTTACCAATTAGAACACAAAATACAGTGTACT